GAAAAAGAAAAAGAAAAAGAAAAAGAAAAAAGAAGTAACTTCCCCCTTCATCCCAGCAAGTAAAGACAATTTTAATTGCTTATCACTATCTCTAAATACAGTATAATCTCTCTTCTCCCCATAGCTCATCTCTTAAGTAAAAAAACAAAATCCAGATGCTTCATCAATCATTCTTTATCAGCAAAAGTCCAGTAAGGGCAACCAGATATAACTATTTTCCTCTTTTAGGCCCTGATCAAACAAATCAACCTTGTATTCCTTCCCTGAGTTTTTAAAAATATTCTTTAACCCTTTCAAAGAGAGTCCCAGAGGTAATTTGTTAGTCATCTGTGTTTCAAGGCAAAAAGCTTTCAAATCTTTAACAAATGCCTTATTGGATACTTATATCCAATAAGTAAAGTTTATCCTTTTGCTTGTCACAGTCCTTCAAAACTTTAACAGAGCTCTTTTGTATATCCAGTAAGAAAAAAAATATTAAGATCAGTTTCCTGGTTTGATATCTGTATATCTCCTTTAGGGAATAAGTTATCCATCAGATCCATTTGTGTTACATTTAAGTTCCCCTTCAAAGTAATTTCATAAACATCCATTGCAACTTGTTCTTGTTCTATAACTTCATTACAACGTGCTCTGTCCATTTTGTCAAGCAATTGATCCATTCTATCAAGAAGCTTGGTAGAGAGATATTCAAAAACTTGCAGTACAGATTTCTGCTCCATATTCTTTATCCTCTACCTCCCTCTAGTGTCCAACCTTCAAGGTCACCTTATTGTGAAAAAGCCAAAACAATCAAAAGCAATCCCCATTTTCCCACAAGAAAATATCTTCTAATTAATTCAAAGCTATAATTCCAAATCCCTCTGTCCTCTTAATCTGTTGTTAACTTTCCAAAATCCATATTCTAAACACCCTTTTGCTCCATAGACCAAAGAAATCATATATTTTCAAAGCTTTTACACCAAATCAAATGTATACCATTGTCCTCTAAAGAGGAGGAAACTCACCGGATGAAAGAATAAACTTTGCCAGTATGAAGGGTCTTAACCTCTCAACAGTAAACAACAAAAAATTATAATCCAAAAAGGTGATTAAGAATGAGGCTTGGTTGAGCTTAATGTCTGTAAATGCTGCTTTGCAAGCGTGAGCTTGATGAAATCCCAACTCCCAGACACTCCACTCATAAGCCAACCACAAAACGGTAGTTTCCACAGTTTACTCATGAGGAGCAGCTGACTGGAATCTCAATGATCTCTCCTTCTGGAGAGATTTCACTAGTCTGGATCCAGCATCCAGCCATGATTCTGTTTGCAAACGCTGTCCTGCTAATCAGCCG